CTGAGAGGAGTTTATCTCTGCAGAGCAGGGTAAGGTCTTAGGCACAGCTCTGACGTCCAGCAGGATCACAGTAGGATCAAAGGAAGGTGCTAAAGTCAGCTTGAAATCAGCGACTCCCTTGGTAGAGAGAGACCTGTGAGTGCTGTTAAGAGGACAGAACTGGTCAGAGGGGAAGGCTGAGGTGTCTCTTATATAAAGGGAGCATGAAGAGGGTGGAGCAAGATGGCCAAGTAGAGTAGTCTGGCGCTTGTCCCCCTCCCCTCAAAAGAGACCAAAACTACAAACAACTGTATTTGGACTTGAATGACTGAAGAAATATGCTGCAGAGCACGAGGGGAGTGGAGAAATCCTTATGGAACACAGAAGAAAGCACCATAGAGAGCAGAACTACAGGGACTGACTTGGGTTCAGACAGAGAAAAGACGAGCTGGAAAAACCCCATCTGTTTACACTGCTGCCACAAATGTCACTAATCCCTGCCAGAGGAGGGTCTCACAGTCCTCACGGGTCCCAAAGCCACTTGGAGAGTAACTGGGAATTTGTGCAGCTTCACCACCTCATAGTAGAAAACCAGGGAGAGGAACCTAACCCCAGCCTAAGCAGTTAGGTTACAGTGTCATCTTGAAGCTAAACACTTGGCTAGAGTGTAGCCTGCCTGGGCAGCTGGTGGAAACAGTCTTCCTCTATCCTCAGCGCGCACCTTCATTGCACCACATTCACAGGGGTGTCTGCAGTACCACAACTCCAGGTGCCTGGTGCCAAGGTTAGACAGAAAGACTGATACCCCAGCATCTGAACGCACATGGCATCCCCTGCCCCTACCCACCCAGGTGAACAAGCAGACCTGCCTGCTCAGAGGGAAACTGCCAGTAAGTGGTGGTCCACCACATTCGCACACACCTGCCCTGCACAACCCATGGGCCTGGTAAGCCCACAGGCGTTCGCATCAGCCAAAAACCAGCCTGCCAGTAGCCCTGCCTTTCCCTCTGACCCTCTACAGAGCTGCCAGGGCCTGCTTCACCAGTGTACACCTGCTTCCTGACCAACAATGATCAGGCAGTGGCCTTCCTTCTCATAGCAAGCCTCTACAGATCCATCAGACTCTGCTGTTTCCTGAATGACAGCAGAGCAGGCAGTGGCTGTGACCCTCCATGAAAGGCCTCTACAGAGCTGGAAATGGCTGTGCCCTTGTAGGCTTGTTCCAGGATTAATGCGTGATCCAATGGCCCTCTACAGTGTTGTTAGGCCCTGCAGCGCCAATGGTTACCTGCTCCCTGAATGACAGCAGAGAGGGCAACAGCTTTTCCTTATTACAGTAGGCCTCTGCAGAGCTGCCAGACCTGCTTGCACCCTTGCAGGCTTGGTACAGGCTTAGTAGCTGATCCAGCAGTCCCCCACAGGGCTGCTGGGCCCTGCTGCTCTGGTGTATGCCTCCTGCTTGTCTGACAATGAACCAGGCAGTGGCCTTGCCTCTCTCTGGTAGAATATAATGAAGTTCCTAAGCCTTGCTACATCCTTGTTGGCAGGCTCCAGGACTGACTGTTTATCCAGGAGCACTTCCCAGAACTGCCAGACCCTGCTGCACTGATGTGTTCCTGTACCTGCTGAAAAGTGAATGGGGTGGTGGCTTGCATCCTCAGGCAGGCCTGCATAGAACAATCTGGCTCTGCGGTGCCTATGCATGTCAGCTGCTGCCCAGACATTAGCATCCTCTCCTTTGACAGGCCTTGGAAGAGTTGCCCCACCTTGTACCCAGGCTCACCCATTTCCAATCCAAAAGCTCATCAGGCAGTGCACCACCCCCTGGAGACACAGTATCAGAGCTGCACCTACACATGGCCTGA